GTAAATGGATATTCCCGTCAATTTCGATTAGTTTTACATTACGGTTTACATAGTTGTTTCTTCTTAATCTTTTGTATCTTTTATTGTATTAGGTGCTGACATAAAGAACCCGCCATACTTTTTCTGTAATTTCATGTAAAAAGTGGCGGGTTCTTTATGTCGGCACCTAATACTTATAGGAACATCTAGTACTACGAAGCTAAAGTACAAACACAGAAAAAGCTGGTATTCCAGAAAGTTTTTTTGTTATCATATGATGCATGAAGTCCTATAACAATCTTTCTTTGTGATATTTTGTGCTTACATTGTTTTAGGTATTCTATACGTATTTTATGCATGATTATCTATTTACATAGTCCAACTTTTAGAATATTATTTACTGTTAGATTACATTCACTAATGTTACACCTATTTAAATGAATATCTTTACCTTATATCTCTCATCCGTGTATATACACATGTTTTTTACTCAAATACACTTTTGAGTAATTCCCAGAAACACTTTAACATCTGTCAGCGAATACCTTATTAAGGTTGTTTGTACTAGAATAGACGAGTTTCGAAAATTTTGAAAAATTTCAATCTGCGGAGGCAGCATATTTAGTACTTGCTGGTTTCTACTTTCTCTTATAGTTTAGCATATATCAGCTTGGTAAAACGTTTTTTAAAAGATGAAGCTAAATTTTAAAATGGACCAAGGGAGGGGAATTTAGAACTATTGGGTGCCGACATAAAGAATCCGCCATTTTCTACAAAAAACTACAAGCAAAGCATGGCGGGTTCTTTATGTCGGCACCATACATACACTAAGTAAAGATATCCACCATATGACTTGGAGATATAGGTGACATTTTTTTTGAGGATTAAGTTAAAATATAACGTAATTTTTTTGATTTGTGGTGTTTAGCTTGAAGGATTTGTATTTTGTGTCTTACTATAGTCATTGTAAAACTTTTTGAAAGTTTTGACGAAATGTCACAAAAATTTTTAGATATTGAAATTTTGATTAAAAATGAATTTTAAAGTTTTTTTACTGTTTTAAAAATGCTTTTTCTTTGTAAAATACGTTTTGGACATTTGATATTCATTTAAAATTAGCATAATTTTTATTTTTCTTACATTTTTAAAAATACAATTTGTGACATTTCGTCACAAGTTGAAAAATAGCAATTATCCTGTGTTAAAACGAAATGGCGACGTCACAATGAGTCAAGCTAATTGTGTTAATCTTTATGCAAATCTTTTCCTGGTTACAGATTTCAAAAAGCCGCGGTAATCCTGGAATTGTCTGTTGTCTCTTAAGTATTAGTGCTGTTTCTACTCTTCCTCAATTATCTCTAACATCTCTTTGGTTTTCATACTATTTCATCTATCTTTTACTTTGATATTCCTTCCTTATACTCTTTTTTTAAATCGTGTATTTAAGAAAGTGTAGTGTTAACTTTTGCAGTAACTACAATGACGTTATATGGTATCACTTACTATTTCTGTTATATGTCTTTGCTTTGTTTGACGTTTTGCGCATGATGCACTAACTTCTTGTGTATTATGGGTTGTATTTTGGACTGAGAAAATTTACTTATATACAATTATTAGGTGCCGACATAAAGAACCCGCCATTTTTTACAAAAAATTACAGAAAAAGTATGGCGGGTTTTTTATGTCGGTACCTACTAGGTACAAAATGCTTTTAAAATTTTTATAAAATTAGCACGTTTAAAAAAATTTTTATTTTGTGCGGGGTAGGGTAGGGTAGGGCAAAGTAAAAGTCTGTAGCCTTGAAAATTGTGCTTGACATAAAAATCTTGCCCTTACTGCACCGTACTACTCAGTTACGTCTAATCGCATTGTAGTTTCATTAAATTGATTGAGTTTGTAAATCGTCATTAACATCATGCCAAATCTTTGTTCTTATGACTACATCATGTTGTTTAAACTCACATCATCAAACTCATGAATAACATCAATTTTTTATTTTTACTGCATAAAAATAACATCACCTAGTTAGCTTTAGGACTTTAAAATAATATCAAGTGTAATGAGCTAAACATATAATGTCATTCATGTTCGTATCTGAACAAAACAACGTGTGATGTGACGTTTACGTTTAAATGAGCTTATAACATTTTTGCATCAAATCTACATCATTTTAGTTTGTAAAGATTAAAGAAGAAGGATGTAAAGGGTTCCCTTTTCTGTTTATAGCATGTAAAGAAAGCTTATTACCCATATATAATACTATAAAGTCCATCAATTCAAAATTTTAATTTCACTTCCAAGTCAATAGCGTTTAATAACATCACTTTACAACTATACCCACATCATTTTATGTTGCAACTACATCATTTTAATAGCATGTGCATCATGACCCAAAACCCGAACGTTTGTTGTTTACCAAATGTATTTTTGGCCCAATCCCCTCGGGACACAATTATTAGCAGAAGCGGCTTGCATTACACTAACCACCGCTTTCCCAGCGGTGTAATGAAAAGTTGAGAATTGGGTCCATCAAATTATGGCACACATGCGGCGGAAATTAACGGAAATTGTCGTTTTTTTTCGTGTTTATGAACAATTACATGCGTTTTGGCGAAACCATTACTATGTAAAGTGGCATAGATCATTAGAAGAAAATTTTTATAGAGTAACCGTAAAAATTTTCTTCACAAAGAAAGAGGGCACTGATCTTTCTTCGTTAAACCAAAAAATTCCAAGACTCTCGTATAACTTGTCAACCGCAGTCTGCAGAACTCCGAAAAGAAAACGTTTTGGTCGTTAAACGACAGTCTTTCTTTACAGTGTAAAAAATGGCAAATACTTTTTCTACAAAATAAAAAATCGCAAGAACTTTCTTTACAAAACAAAATAGCAAAAACTTTCTTTACAAAACATAAAATGGCAAGAACTTTATTTACAAAATCAAAAATGGCAAGAACTTTCTTTCCAAAACAAAAAATCGAAAAGACTTTCTATACAACACAAAAAATGACAAAAACTTTCGTTGCAAAACAAAATGGCAAAAACTTTCTTTCCAAAGCAAAAAATGGCAAAAACTTAAATTCCAAACAAAAAATGGCAAAAACTTTCTTCCCATAACAAAAAATGGCAAAAACTTTCTTTACAACACAAAAAACCGCAAATACATACAATACAGATATAAAACGTTAACAGTACGTATAGAAATTGCAAAGGCAATGAAAACAGTATTATTTCGTTTTTTTCCTATTCAAATGGCCGTCTAATAGAAAACAGATAAAATAAATGAATTGACTTTTTAAATAATTGTTTTATTAATTTATGTTAGGCTCTGTCACTTCTTGTTCTCTAAAAAACTTTTTTATTCATCATCTGTCTTGTAAAGAAAGTTATTGCTATTTCTTCTTTTGTAAAGAAATTCTTTGCCACTTTGATTTTTGGCCACAAAATTTACAATACGCAGACATTTTGTAGGTGTTCGAAAGTAATGTCGAGTATTCTTTTAATCGGCCCGCTTTCTCAATTCGATTAATAGCCTTTTATGTCGATTTTAGCCGATTTTCGTACTTTTACAGCTACTACTAAAACAACATGTAAATTTATTTTTTATTTTTTTAATGTTAAATATGCATTATATGTAGGAATTGCCACACAAGAACATGTACTATAGCCTATAGCCAAAAATTTTTTTGGGTTGGGTAAATAATTTTTTTAGTTGGGGTGGATTTTTTAAAATTTTTTTATTTGGTTATTTATGCAGATTGTGTTGTTTTAAAAATTATTTACAGACTAAAGTTAAAAAAAAATTTTTGGTGTTACATTTCAATTCTCAGCGTTTTGGAAGTAATATTTGGGTTCAAAATACGTTCAAAACATGTAAAACATACATAGAATTGTAATTTTAAATTTGGGCATGTGTCACGCATTTTACATTTTTATAATTGAAAATTTCAAAAAAGTAGTGTAAAACGTCTGATATTACAAAATATTACAGTAGTTGAACTTATTTTTATAATTTTTGAAGTTGCTTAAGAGGGTAGGAATACAGCTAGAGCAAGGCTTAGGCTTGGGCTCAAGTTTAGGCTTAGGCGTAGGCTTAGGCTTAGGCTTAGGTTTAGGTTTAGGCTTAGGCTTATTCTTAGGCGTAGGCTTAGGTTTAGGCTTAGGCTTAGGCTTAGGTTTAGGCTTAGCCTTAGGCCTAGGCTTAGGCTTAGGTTAAGGCTTAGGCTCAGGCTTAGGCTTAGGCTTAGGTTAAATTTATCGGACTATAGAAAGATAGGACTACAAGTCTATATCTACTGCACATGTATTTTGTGCAACATGAGTAAACGATGTAATCTTATCTTCATGGGATTTGTCTATATCATTGCGGCCTTAAAATATACATGACATATGGACTGTGATGTCTGGGAACTCACATTAAAACACAGCCGATGTGTGATGTTTCTTCAGTTTGGGTGTCTTTTGAATTGAAACATACCATGGTATGTAACAAGTCTTTTCAGGTTGTTCTTCTTAGTTTTTGGGGTATTTTAGGTATTTTTTGGTATCTTTTTTATTATATTATGATTTCTGCTTCACTTCTGATCTTTATTTGGGTATTTCTTTACATTACTATTTCTTAACATCACTATTTCTTAACATTGCTCAAAGTTTTAACTACTCCAAAGTAAAAGCAATACTCAAAGTGAATGTTTACATTCCCTCAAACATGGTCATTAAGCCTAACGGACCTCTAGAGAACCTTTGCATGTTGAGATCGCTTTTTATTTACCGTGTGTTAATTACTTTGTTACCTTCTAAAGTATGTTTTTTTAGTATGAACCCCATAATTTGGTTAGATTCAGCACTCTAACATAATACTGGGTGTTTATTGCTTCAGTTGTTTGCACCATAAGTTGGAAATTGTTGCCCATACTACCTATATACTACCTTAACACAAGGAGAAGTGAACGTTGTATGATCATTCTACCCCCAGTGAATTAAAATTACTGTACCTACCTACCAACAATACCTCACCAACAATGACCCTCGTCCCGACCGTCCTCCAAACCCCCTCATCGCCGTTGTATCGTCGCCGGCGACGTGAAAGCACGACGTTTAATTATGCGAAAGCGGGCCGACCCGGCACTCCGCCCATTCAAACCGTTTTGGCGCCGACGACCCGCCCTGCGCCACGGGAGCGATCCAACACGTGTGTGCGGGTTCGTGTGGATAAAAGCGGCACATGCAGTGTCGAGCCGAGTGCTAGTCGCAGTTTTGAACAGAACGATCGGACGGCGGGTTTGAGGCATCTTGATGATTCGAGGGGTGATTTAAGGACTGGTGTTGATCAGAGGAAGGTTTTGGGACAGGGTGAGGATCGGAGGGCAAAATTACGGAATGAGGACGATCAAAAGTCAAGTTTGAATCATGATGAAGATCAGCAGATCTTAAATTCAAAAAGTCGTCAAATTTTAAAAAATGGCCAAAAAGATGACATTGGGGATTCACAATACTACGTAGCATCTACTGATTGTTCAAAAAATTCTAATTTTGAATATTCAACCCCTCATAATCCTGCCAATACTAAAATTTCAAGTTTTGATGCTAAGTTCAAGTACGTGGATTCAGAAGACCGTACTGATTCTGACGACCGCGCTGATTCCGAAGATTGTGCTGATTACTTTAATTTTAGTATCGACAGTGATAACGGACTTAAATCTGCTGGAAATTGTGTTGAAAGTACTAATATAGTACCACAAGACAGTACGGATACTAATTTCGTACCAAAAGGTAATACTGATACTAGTTCAGTCAAAAGCAATAAAAACGACTCAGTATTGACTACAGTACCACAATCTACCACTACAGTACAAAATCTACCTCAAGATTCAGAGCCTACGACTGACAGTGCTGAAGAACTTGCTGATATCGTGGTGATACCAAATCATTTTCAACGTTCTAATACTTTGTCAGTACAGCACGACCATTTTGTGCCTCATGCTATAGCAGAAGTACCAGAAGTTGTACCAAACGTACGGTACCGTAATTCTGTAGCCAATATTCATTGTAATGGATATTTAAAACTTTTGGATAACAAGTTGAATCATACTATAAACCATCAAAACTCTGCGGATACTGTACTACTTCAGCGGCCATTTACTACAGTAGGGCATTACAGTAATCAAAAAGTCAACAGTATTGGACCAAGAGCCAAAACGTTGTCAACGACCGGTCGATCCTCTACTTTAACGGCAAATAGTACCACTACAGGTAAATTACCGTATACTAATCGGCAACGCAGTTCTATCGCAATAAGCGGAAATACTGTACCTAAACCTGGGTGTACTGTACCCAACTTGGTTGCCATAGCTAGAAGTACAGTATCAAAATCTATTGATAATTCAGTACCGAACTTGACGGAAATTGCTCACAGGTCAGTACCAAGGCTTACTAGGGAGAGTACGGTACCAACTACTGTAGTTAGAGTACCAAACTACAAATACTCTAATGTACTGAACCCTCAAATATCCGACAGTACGAACGCTTTGGCCAACAACATTCCACAAGCCTACAGTAATACCTCAACCCAAGTGTTGGGTGGAACTTTAAGTTACAGTAACCTGAATCAGTACGATAGACCGTTTAACACGGCGTTACAGTGCACGTGCAACATAGAGCTAAGTACACGTTCTTCATTCTCAGCACTTCAAAGTTCGAATCCTGGTGCTAACTTGAACCCAACTCGTACTGTATTTGGTAGTAGAGGGTCGTGTTCCGCATTACCTTCGTGTTATACGGTAGGAAATAACGCTGAGTACACTGTACCAATACAAAATATTGGTACTGGTGATCAAGCCAGAGCTTGTTTGGCTAGTACTAGACTGCTCAACCAAAACCAAACGGCTATTCAAGGTCAGAATACAGTCTCTTCTTCCGGAGCTACAGTATCAACAACTCTCGACGGTACCGTAACACCAAACTCAAATACTGTGCCCAACTTTTCCGTCTCACCAACTCCTTACGCTATCTCACCATATTCTACAGTACAACTCAACCAGTACTCTGCAGTACCAATTACGCCTAATCCTACAGTACCGATTAGTCCAAATACTGTTCTACCAATTAGCCCATACCCTACAGTAGCCACGCCAAGCTATTCAGCCCTAACTACACCAAATCCAAACAAATCATTGCGTTTGAACGATAGCACGTTCTCATCGCGTGCACCATCTTCAATGTCCGCCTTCACTCGCACTATCCACCCTACCGCCACCCCACCCCCATGCCCGGTTCATTCTCAAAGTCAACGTCGATTTTCAATGTCGGCTCAACAGCTGGGACAGGCGAGGTTCAGGCACAAAATAGGATCGTACTGGAGGAGTTTTGAGCTTTATACTGATATTCCAAAGACGGCCGAGTTGACTCGTACTGGGTCGATTATTCGACGACGACTGGCTATGTTGGAGAGCTTTGATGCTATTAAAGGTGCTTATGACTTTTAATTTTTTTGTTTTATGATGATGCCGACAGAAAGAACCCGCCATATTTTTCTTGTTATTCGTTGTAAGAAATGGCGGGTTCTTTATGTCGGGTTGCAAAAGTAAAAAAAGTCTTATTGTAAGGTAGGGCTATTGAAGAGTAATGTAGGTAGGGTAAAAGCAGAGTAAGTAAAAGTACTAATAATTCCTCCAAAGTCAATAAAAACTGGCACTAATCAAAGTTGTAAACAAAAAAACGCTGTAACATTTGGGCCTTTCCGGGTATTTATTGGACACGCAAATTGGCCAAATTTTTATAAAATCAAAGAAAAAACGAAAAAAAAAAGTTTTTGTCTCAAAAAATTTGGTAAAAACAAAAAATTAACCGCATTAATGGGCCGTTTTGCAGAGGAGAAAAGTAACGGCGACGTGCGATTCGACGTGAACGATGGCGATGGAAACCCGCACAAACGGTCGGCCGCTCAGGTCAAGAGTATTCGGCGGAGGCAGAGTGGCTATGGCATTACGATTACAAGGTGGGTGGAGGTTTTTATATTTTTTTGGCATTTTTAGAGCCATTTTTTTCATTTTTAGGTGACATTTTTAATTTTTTATTTTTAGGTAACATTTTAAAGTTTTTTTGAGATTACTGATAAGGAAATGATATAAATAAGTACTAGTTGTATTAGAAAAAGCACTAAAATTGAAAAAAAAATCATTAAAATTTGTAAAAAATTTTAAATTTTAGTACTATTTAGTACCAATGATACTAAAAACGTGTTTGAACTCAAAAAAAGTACAATAATTTTATAAAAAAAAATAAAAAAAGGAAGTATTTGACATATCCAAACAACCCTCGGATAATAATAATTGTTTTTCCCAACAAAAGTTATGTCCATGTTATATTGTTATTGTGGTATTGAGGGGTGAATCGAGATTACTTTCCTCATTATCTCTTGAGATTTAATTTTGCTTACTATTTGGTGACATTCTCTAGTTAGGAAAAGCGAATAGACTTCTAAAATTTGGTTTTTTTGGGGTTTATTTAAGGTTTTTTGAAATTTCTAGCTTTCTTAGGCCCTAAATTAAGGTCATATTATACTGGAGAGATGTTTGTTGAGTTTCATAGGAATTTTAAATTTTTTAAATGAGGAACGTTGTAAAGGGCTTAAAGAAGGAGTGGGGTAAAGTAGAAAAGACTTTAAATTAATGCTAGTTTTGAAAATTTGCACTTAAAAGCAAACATGTCTACGTGACTTTTCTGAATTTTAATTCTAAGCGTTTTGGGGTACTGAAATGGAAAAAACTTTCTTTACAAGTTGAAATAGCAAACAGTGCCGGGCGGGGACTTTTGGTCTAGGGGCGGGGGTTCAAAAAAATTTTTCGAAAAATCCACAGTGGGGATCACTTTCAAATTTTTTCGAAAATTTTTTTCTGGGGGTACCCCCCTTCGCGCCCTACCCTAATAGCAAATATTGAAATTTATTGTATAACTATTAGGTGCCGACATAAAGAACCCGCCATTTTTTACAAGAAATTACCGGGAAATATGGCGGGTTCTTTATGTCGGCGCTTAATAGTAAATACTCTTAGTTATAGTATATCCATTGCAGGCTATGTAGGTCAAGAATTGGCTGTTTTATTGCAACTAGCAATAACTTTCTTTACAAATCAAAAATTGCTTTCTATTTATTATATTACACTGAAAAAGTGAACGCTACAAAAGTTCAGGCAAATGACGAAAATTTTAACTTTTTCTCTATTCAAAAACTCAATTTGATTACTGGGAATTGTTAAAATTTGTATGAAACAGGTGCAAGTGATTCTGTCTTTATGGCCCTATAAAAGCGTTTGTTTAACATCTGGTTCGTGGTAAGTCATCAGACGAATACGTATGTCCTTATGGATTAGATTGGGTTAGATTGCTTTAGGGGCTTTAGAAGGTTTTTTAGCTTGTAGTTTAAAATTTTGAAGATTTACAATAAATTTTTAATTTTTTTGAAATTTTTAAAATTTAAATTTTTTTTAAAAATTTTTTTGAAATTTGAAATTTTCATTTATAATGACTTTTCAAATTTTAAGGTAAAGCTTGTTTTTTGAACTTTGAGCAGTTTAATTTTAAGTAAGTGGCTAAATATACATTTTAATTTGTTCCGTGTTAACAATTACATTGTCTTTTAAGCTACAATTACTATTCTAGTCATTTACACGGAACTTTAATTTACACCACCAGGAGGACATCTGTCCTTGGCTGGGGTAGCATTAAAATTTGGTATGATGAGGGGCTTAGGCTTAGTCTTAGGCTAAGACTTAATCTTAGGCTTAGGCTTAGGCTTAGGTTTAGGCTTAGGCTTAGGCTTAGTCTTAGGCTTAGGCTTAGGCTTAGACTTAATTTTAGGCTTAGGCTTAGGCTGATTCTTATGCTCAAGTCTAGGCTTACTATTAGACTTACGCTCTGACTTTTGCTGAGGCTGAATCTTAGGCTTACTTGTTAGGTTGGAATGTATTGTAAACTCGCTAAAAATTTTTAAAGCTAAGCAAATTTTTTGAACTTTTTCTCTAAATTTACTCATTTTTTCATTTTTAAAAATTGTAAGTACCACAAACGTACTCACTCGCACTTTTTCATTACTAATCTTAGGGATTAATGAAATTACCGCTCCCAATGTTCAACAATTTCCCTCTCCACAACTTTTTTTTGCCATTCCCCGCTGCGCTTTCTTCGCATCAATTTTGGGCATATTGTTCACGTGGATTAGATTTGACTTGAGAAAACAATTTTTGGTCGAGAGTTTGAATAGGCGGGCGAGTCGAGAGTTCGGTTTCGTACTAATGTTGTTTAGGGTGATATTAGAGTTGGGGTATGATAAGGTTATAGAGATATTTTTAGAAGATTAAGGGAATTGGGGTGGGGAAGTGGAGTGTCGAAGGGGGGGGACTGCTGGGGGGTATGATTTAAATATAAAGTGAGGGGGAGGAGAATAAAAAATTTTTTTTTGAAATTTTTTAGCTGCTCACTTCTTCTTTTGAATATTTTTTCACAGGAAAGGAGAGGGGGGGGGGTGAAATTTTTTTTATTTTTATAGTTTATAATGTTGTTTATTAAAGTAACAATAACTGCTAATGACTTGTCTATAGTGGATGGCATAAAAAAATTAAAAACAAATTTACGTTATTTTTCTTAAGATTATAGCCGTCTGAAAGCCCTAAAAGGCATATGATTTACAGGGGGGGGTGGAATTAATTTTAAAAATTAAAATTTTTAAAACTTAAAAAAAGTAATTTTTTTTATTTTTTTTTATTTTTTTATTTAAAAACTTTTTAAACGCTTGTTTTTTCTATACAGCCTTACAATAAGCTAGCTATATCTCAAAAACAATCAGATTACCATCCCCATAACATTGTTGTGTTAATTTCCAGTCAAGTGTGTTTAAATCGCTAAAAAAATAATTTTTATTGTGTGGTCGGTACTTATTTATTCTTTTTTTTTCATCTTTGTGTTGTCAAATGAAATCAAAGTCAAAAAAGTCGTGGCGGAAAAGTTTTTCTAATTCTTTCGACGATTTGCTTTGGCCAACACTTAATTTACAATTGGAGGGGTATGCGGGCTTAGGGCTTTTTGGAAGTGTTTTTTTGAAAAAAGTAAAGGTTTTTTGTTTTGTAAGCAAAGTTTTTGCATTTTTTTAATATTGTTAAAAAACCGTGTAACAGAACTTTTTGCGCACCCTGTATTGGGTGCGAATAAAGAACCGGCCATTTTTTACAGGGAATTACAAGAAAAGTATGGTGGGTTCTTTATGTCGGCACCTAATATTTATACAATATGATAGGGTAATGAGTATTTATATCATGTAAAATACTGTAGAACATATATAAATACTGTAATGATAAAAGTTGTAAAAGTTAAAGTACTTGACCTAGTAAGTGTCGACATAAAGAACCGGCCATTTTTTACAGGGAATTACAGGAAAAGTATGGCGGGTTCTTTATGTCGTCATCTAATAATAAAGTTAATTTAAACATATTATAGTATGTGAGTGACAAGTTATTCGATACAATTACTGTAAAGTAGGGCTGGGTATGATAGGTAAAACAATTTATGTCCAAAAATTGACCGAAATTTAAAAACTTTAGGCTTTTTCCCAATTTGCACCAACATTTCAAATAGAGCACAGTATGTTTCAATACATGTTTTTGGCATTCCAACGTAATTGTAAAAGAAAACGATTATTTTTGCAGCTAAAGAGCGTGAAATTTCGAATTTTGTCAAACTTTTGGATAGATAATGGCCATTTTTGGTCATTTGGGTTTTTAAATGTGGTTTTTGACTCTGTAAAACAAGTTTTTGCAATTTTAAGTTTTGTAAAGAAAGTTTTTGCGATTTTTGCTCTGCAAAGAGTTTTTGCAATTTTCTGTTCTTTAAAAGAAGCTTTTGCTCTTTTTGTTCTGTAAAGAAATTTTTTGCAATTGTCCGTCTTGTAAAGAAAGTTCTTGCGTTTTTTTGCTTTGTAAAGAAAGTTTGTGCAATTTTTTTGCTTTTTAAAGAATGTTTTTGCGATTTTTGCTTTGTAAAGAAAGTTTTTGCAATTTTTCGTTTTGTAAAGAAAGTTTTTGTAATTTTTTTGCTTTGTAAAGAAAGTTTTTGCGTTTTTTGCTCTGTAAAGAAATTTTTTGCTATTTTCCGTTTTGTAAAGAAAGTTCTTGCGTTTTTTTGCTTTGTAAAGAAAGTTTTTGCAATTAAAAATTCGAAGAGCAACCGAACAGACAAAAAGTACTTTTACCCTTTTAAATTTGCGAAATCTGTGCTACATACTATAATATTATTGTATTTATTGAATATTTTAGTTAATTTGTCGACAAAATGAACTTATCTTGAATTTATGGTATTTTAAAAACCGCCGGGCCCACTTGTTTGTCATTGGCATATTTTTCAGCTGCTATTAGCTTTTTTCTAAATACGATGTAAATACATGGTATTAACTATGTATTCAGTGATATTGGTGTGTTTGTGTAGGTAGATAAAGGAAGGGGGGAGGGGGAAGAGAGAAATACGTGTTTTTGTGGATATATGGGTTAGGCATTTATTTTTGAAAAAGTCATCTTTTTAAGATCTTTTTTTGACATTTTAATACTAATACCATAAAAAATGCATACCCATACTATGCATTGTTGCTTCAATACATAATAGATTGTACAGGCGTTTTTTATGTTTATATATGCATTGCTCTTGAGAACGTTTTGCGAATGCCATCATGTTGAAAAGATATGGCTTGTTTAGAGTGTCTTCAAGAATAACATCGTACTTATGCCACTTCAAAGGCTATAAGTTTAGATGCTTGTCGAAACTTGACGTTGGGTTCGTGAGGTCTACCGTGATGTGTGAGGAGTATACTCTGTAGTCGATGATTGAAAAGGATAAGGTAGTACAGGGTAAGGGAGGGGGGAGGGTAGGATCTTTTTTTTTCAAAGGCTTAGTTTAGGCATGGCTTAGGTTTAGCTTAGGCTCAGCTTAGGCTTAGCTTAGGCTTAGCTTAGGCTTTGCTTAGGCTTTGCTTAGGCTTTGCTTTGGCTTAGCTTAAGAAAAACAAATATTTTCAAATTTTAAATTTTCAAAAAATGAAATTT